TCCAGCTCTCTACTATGGCCTGGGAAAGCAGTGGAAGATAGCCTGAGTCCTTGGGCCCCTACACCAGTGTGGGAGACCCAGAGGAAGCTCCTAGCTCCTGACTTCGGATGGACGCAGCTCCAGCTGTTGCAGCCATTTGGGAAGTGAACCAGCAGATAGAAGACCTCTCTCTCTCTCTCTCTCTCTCTCTCTCTCTCTCTCTCTCCTTCTCTCTGCCTCTCCTCTCTCTCTCTTTTTTTTTTTTTTTAATTTTTGCCAGGCAGAGTTAGACAGTGAGAGAGAGAGAGATGGAGAGAGAGTTATAGACAGTGAGAGAGAGACAGAGAAAGGTCTTCCTTCCGTTGGTTCACTCCCCTAATGGCCGCTACAGCCGGCGCTGTGCCGATCCGAAGCCAGGAGCCAGGTACTTCCTCCCAGTCTCCAATGCAGGTGCAGAGACCCAAGCACCTGGGCCACCCACCTCTGCCCTCCTGGGCCACAGCAGAGAGCCGGACTGGAAGAGGAGCAACCGGGACAAGTACCCGGCGCCCCAATCAGGACTAGAACCTGGAGTGCCGGTGCCGCAGGCAAAGGATCAGCCATGTGAGCCACGGCGCTGGCCTCCTCTCTCTTTCAAATAAATAAATCTTTAAAAAAAAAGTAGAGCGGGCCGGCACCGCGGCTCACTAGGCTAATCCTCTGCCTTGTGGCACCGGCACACCGGGTTCTAGTCCTGGTCGGGGCGCCGGATTCTGTCCCGGTTGCCCCTCTTCCAGGCCAGCTCTCTGCTGTGGCCAGGGAGTGCAGTGGAGGATGGCCCAAGTGCTTGGGCCCTGCACCCCATGGGAGACCAGGAGAAGCACCTGGCTCCTGCCATCGGATCAGCGCGGTGCGCCGGCCACAGCACGCCGGCCGCGGCGGCCATTCTGGAGGGTGAACCAACGGCAAAGGAAGACCTTTCTCTCTGTCTCTCTCTCTCACTATCCACTCTGCCTGTCAAAAAATAAATAAATAAAATTAAATTTAAAAAAAAGTAGAGCAAAAATTTGAGATCATATTTCCTGGTTTCTGACATAAAAAAAAAGACTTGATCAATTAAACAAACTGGAATCTATAATTGGGGGTGAACATTTTGCCTACTCATACTGGAGTACCTGGCTTTGATACCTGACTTGGGCTCTTGAACGTGAACTTCCTGCTAATACAGACCCTGGATAGCAGCAGTGATGGTTTAAATAGTTGAGTTCCTGCTACCCATGTGTGAGGCCTGGTTAGAGTTCCTGGCTGCCAGTTTTGGCCACTGGCTGTCACAGGTTTTTGGAGAGTTTAATCAGTGGATGGAAGCTCTCTATCTGAGACTTTGCCTCTCAAATAAATAAATAAAATTAGAAAAAAAGGAAACTTCTCAGTAATAAACTATCCCTGTTTGAGCACAGATGGAAGTACCCTCCTCATGCCAGCAGAAGCCAAATCAATAAAACCCAGAAGATACATTCAGCACTATTCCACCAGGCAGTCCTGAGAGCTCTCTCACTGTATAAATGTTGGTCTCCCAGAGCAATGCTGTTCACAGCAGTAGGTAACCAGGTGTCTGCTCTTTTGCCTTGACCCAGAGAAGACTTGAGAACATCTGGAAGAGCACGTGGATTATCCCTTGGCAGCTACATAGGGGCTTGACTCAGCTGGAGGATCACGCCACATTTGTGTGCCAAAGAAGTCCCACAGATACACAGTGAAATTGCATCTAGTACCTGGAATGTGTATTTACTGTAATTATGGCAATTGCTCACTGAGCTGAAGGGACTCTAGGACCCTGTACTGCAGCAAGTCTGGCTGACTGCTAGACCAGACCAAAGGAACCAATGGCTTATGCCCCTGTCTTTCCAAGTTCACGTTCAGTGGTGTAAATTCAGCTTTGGTGGGAGAATGTATCCTATAAAAAAACAGCAAACACTACAAGTAAAGGTTTTACTTCTTCCTCAAAAAGCTACTTTATCACTTGGCAACCAGATATGACTTAAAGTGAAACCTGGGCTGAATACAGGTAAGAAATATGTTTCTTTTCTTTTTATTTTAAAGATTTCTAATTTGTTTGAAGAGTAGAGTGATATTCACACATGTACACATACAGAGATCGAGAGCAAGAGTGTGTGTGTTTGAGAGAGAAAGAGAGACAGAGAAAGATATCTTCCATCAGCTGGTTCACTTTCCAAATGACCAGGACAGTTGCGGCGGGACCAGGCTGAAGCCAGAAGTCAGGGACGCAAGCACTTGGCCGTCCTCTGCTGCTTTCCCAGATGCATTAGCAAGGAGCTGGATTGGAAGTGGAGCAGCCAGGACTTGAGCTAGTGCTCTGATACAGATGCTGGTGTTGCAAGAGGTGGCTTAGCCTATTTTGTCACAAAGGCAGTCCCAGAAATGTGTTTCCTGAGCACATAAGAATGCATATTCAGGGCTGAGCTCAGTTCTGTCCAAGCTGTAGAAGAGCAGAGGAGGATGGGTGAGTAGCACGCTGTCTGGACACTCTTCTAGACATTGTAACAGGAGATTCTGCTGTGGAGTTTATTATAGTTTGTAATAGTTTATTATTAATAGTTTATTATTATTTGGTGTCATTTTGCGCCTTCTAATTCCCTTTAAGTTGCATGTCAAAACTTCCACACCAGCAGACTCTTGTGGCTTCACTAGAGTAGAAAATGTTGAGATAAGAGACAGAATTTTAAAACAGAGAGTGAGAGACTCATTAATTGTGTGTTCACTCCCTGATAATAAGCCTGAGGTGGGAGGCACAAAGCTGTGGATGATTTTGCTTCACTCAGACCCCTCAGGGAGTGAGAACTTCTTGTCCGGAGGTGTGATCCTGGTGTACAAAATGCTGCATGTCTCCCACAACCTGGCCCATCAGTGCAAGCCAACTACTTCATCTGGCGTCAACCGCGGAACCAGCCATCTGTTCCAGCGCTGGAAGAAAAACCGACTGTTGGCCCTAACGATAGGTAGAAAAACAATCCACCTTATGGCTAACTGAAGGGATTTTTCAAGGGGATTTTGACTTGACACAGTTTTTCTTAACCCCTGCATAAAATGCGATTCCACCTACTAGAAAGCAGGAAAAGAACACCAAACAGGCTTGTTAATTGCTGGCTTACAAAACAGCTAGTCTACTTTGAGTGAATTCAGACCCAGATGATTCAGGGTGAGTCCAACTAAAGAGGAGGGTCCTTTTAGTACCCTCTATTGAGAGTTGAGAGACCAATAGAAAACATGTGCCTGACAGAAGACAAGCCCCACCACCACGCAGAGGAGCACAGGAGGAATAATCCTGTTAGGCAATCAAAACTGAAGTGGCTCCGGTGCAGGGTACCGCCTAGATCAGCACTGAAACAGAGGTGTTTCATTATGTAACTGCCAGTATCCATGTCAAAACACCTTCCCGTAGGAAGCAAGGGCAATTTCTTTTCATTTAGCTCCCCGATTGCTTTCCATGAGAAGATGCCGTGTGCTGAGATCTTCTTGATGGTATTCTACATTTTCCATCATATACACATTATACAGGTCTAAATGGAACTTCAAAATATAGTTGTCAAATAGGCCCACCTACACAAGAAGATTCAGCACCAATGAAGAGAAAAAGTGCTGGCTATAGCCCTTTGGGTCCAGGGAAAAGTAGACACCAGGATTGTGGAGACGAATTATTTATGTTCTAATTTTTCACCTTTCACATGTCTCCCTGTCTTTTCCGCTTGGCTGGCCCGATGTAACAGAGAGTATGTGGACAAGATCGTGTGCCCAGAATGGCTCTTCCCTGCCTATAAATTACAACATCGATTTTAATGACCCCTTGCTGCGGGGACCACTGGATAGAAGTTTTAGTTACAGAGCTCCCCGACTGATTAACATGTGTAAGCCCCCAGAGGCCTCTTGAGGGAAAAGAGCAACCTAAAAACTTGAATTCAATGGAAAAGTCGGGATCTCCAGCCCACACATGGTCTGTGGGGTGGAGTCACCCTGTGTGGGGCATGGCTGTGGATCCCACTGGGTTTGCTGGAGAATATTCACTGTCTGTGAAGGGATCTCTAGGGCTCACATGGCAACAGGATTTCCTGTCCCCTCAGAAGAGGAGAAGCAGGCTCCGGTGGTAACTTCTGAACTGTGGCAGCTCTCACACTGCTGCTCTCTTTAGTGAAGTCAGAACACCACCTTTCATTTTAAAGGAAACTTTACAGGGGCTGCTGCTGCGGTGTACTGGGTAAAGGCACTGCCAGCAGTGCTGGCGTCCCATACGGGCATCCCAGTTTGAGTCCTGGCTGCTCCACTTCTGATCCAGCTCTCTGCTATGGCCTGGGAAAGCAGTAGAAGATGGCCCAAGTCCTTGGGCCCCTGCACCCACGTGGGAGACCCGGAAGAAGCTCCTGGCTCCTGGCTTCAGATCAGTGCAGCTCCAGCCATTGCAGCCAGTTGGGGAGTGAACCAGCAGAAGGAAGACCTCTCTATCTCTCTCTGCCTCTTCTCTTTCTGTGTAACTCTGATTTTCAAATAAATAAATAATTTTTTAAAAGGAAACTTTATTTATTTATTTATTTTGAGAGGCAGAGAGACAGAGACAGACAGATGGACAAAGATCTCCCATCCACTGGTTCACTCCCCAAAGGCCTGTATTGGCTCATGAGAGCCTGGAACTCAATCCAGGTCTCCCATGTGGGGCAGCAGGGACCTAACTACTTGGGTCATCACCTGCTGAATATCTGGGTGTGCAACAGTGGGAAACTGGAATTGGGAGCAGAGGTGAGACAGAAACCTAAATGCTTTATAGGGATATTGAGTGTCCCAGGAGGCATCATAAGCATTGCATCAAATGCCCATCCCAGAAAAGCACCCTTTAATTTCTAGAGTAATAACCAGTGGAGGATGAGTGGGGACTGGGATAAAAATAACTGTGGAATAAGCAATATTTAGTTAGTTAATGATGTCTAAAATAACAATGGGAATAGCATGGCTTTCAAGGTTTTTGACCATTGTGGGGAGCGGCCCGGACTGGACTGAGTTACTGGAATTAAGACTTGTTCTGTGCATCTGCTCTCCCACAGTGTGGCGCTGGGAGAGGAGAAAACAGCTTCTACGCAGCTGCCTCCAGTTCAACCAATAAACTGTAGGACCTACTCCTGATTAGAGGAGAGCAGCGTACTCGGCGTGTGGGCAGCCGAGTTAGGATTGGCGGAGGAGGACTATAAAGGAGGAGAGAGACGGCATTCACCAGGAACATCTATGGGGAACATCTAAGGGAACCCGTGCAGCCCCCGAGAGAGCCGGCCGGCGGTGTGCCGCTCCCCTGCGGAAGTGGGGAATGTGGCCAGGGGGAACCGCCCTTCCACGGAGGTGGAAGGGATAGTAGCCAACCCGGGAAGAACCAGCAGCAAACCCGGGGAGGGCCGAGCAGACGAAAGAGCAGCGCAGGGTCCTGTGTCGTTCCTCCACGAAGAGGGGGAGCGACATAATGGTGCCGTGACTCGGATATGAAGCCTAGGCAGGGTTTAGTGTTGCTCCTCCACGAAGAGGGGGAGCGACATAATGGTGCCGTGACTCGGATATGAAGCCTAGGCAGGGCTCAGTGTTGCTCCTCCACGAAGAGGGGGAGCGACATAATGGTGCCGTGACTCGGATATGAAGCCTAGGCAGGGTTTAGTGTTGCTCCTCCACGAAGAGGGGGAGCGACAACCATGATTCACAGTGAGAAATAGATTTTACATTGTAACTTGGATGCACAAATATAGATGTGCACACATATAAAACCCAAATTTCAAGAAACAAAACTCTGATATTTTCTAAAGTATTTTGTGTATAAAGTGCTGATCCATCAATTGAGTTCATGACCCACCAGTGAATCACGGCTTGCAGTCTCACAAGCTGGTTTATATTGTGATGGGCAGAACAGGAAGGCCTAGGCTATGGCACAGTGACTGACAGGACTCTGCCATCGGCCTACCTATATTTGACTTTTCTGCATAGAAGTAGTCTGCTTCCATTCACTGTGCCTCTGTTTTATTGTCTATAAAGTGGAATTAAAACTCTAAAGGATTTGTTGTGAAGATCAAGAGACAAGATGCATGCAAAGCTCCCAAGACCATACCTAGCACATGGCAAACACCCCATAAACAGCCCACTCACCAGCCATCTTCAGCCCCCAAATTGTTGCATCAATCACCCCAACACTCGTAAAGCAACATCACTAGACAATGATTTAGCTCATGGGTCACTGGGATTCCCCTGACTGTTGGCTGTTGTCTCTGCTCTGTGAGTGTCATCCTCTAGCAAACCGGTCAGGACACATCCTTCTCGAGGTGCTAGAAGGCAAAGGGAGCCGGGGCAAGTTCTGTCTTGCAGGTATCATGCCTGCTCACCTGCCATTGACCATAAGATGTGACAAGTCAGCACAGGAGGTCACGACCAAGTTATGTGGTGAGGAGCAAGGATAGAGAGAAGGAGGAGCAGCAATGGCCACTTTTGTCATGAACCAGAGTCACAATTATGAGCCTGAGTCTCTCTCTCTCTCTCTCTCTCTCTCTCTCTCTGCACTTGGTGCTTTGTGTATCAGGTTAAGTGTTGACTACAACCTAGCATAGTGAAAATAAGGACTTTTGATTACAAGTGACCAAATGCCCACAAAAATAATTCCTATGTAACTTGGAAAAAAGCCAGTCAAGTTTAATTAACATGTCTGAGTTATAGTATGGCTGAATGTAGAAACCTAAATAGTGTCTTTGATTCTCTCTCTTCATCTCTCAACTTTGTTTTGTTCTTTACGTTAGAACAATTCTAGAAATAATTTTTCCACAAAACCCCTTGCAGCACCCTCACAGACTGTAATTAGGAGGACCAACCATTCTGGGGCACTCAAAACTCCTTTTGAGTTCAGTTTGAATCACAGTTTACTTGGGGATCACAGAGAGAGAGAGAGAAAGGTCTTCCATCCTCTGGCTACAACAATCGTGGCTGAGCCAGGCCAGGGGTGAAAAGTTTCCTAGACTGTGGGACAGCCAGACAGAAAAATTGAATAAAAAATTACAATCCAGAAGAATAGAGAGAAGGCATTTTCCCAAGGGATTCTACAGAAAAGTCCCTTGATGAGTTCTCATTGACTGACTTGAATCCTATGTTTGCTCCTGAACTAATGACTACACCCAGGAAGATGAGGTCTCTGGCTAAGATCAGGTCATCTTTCAGCTCATGGTGGGATTAACTCCTGAATCCTATGAAATCTGAGCTATTCAAAAGAAAGGACCTGGATATGCAAACAACATAAGTCATACCATTGTCCATGTTTAGATGATTTATTTATTTATCTGGAGTGGGAGGGAGGAGGAAGAAAGAGGAAAGGGAGAGAACTTCCATTTGAAGTCTCACTCCTTCAATGCTTACAAGCTTGGAGCTGGGACCAGGACTGGAATCAGAGCCAGAAATGCAATTCAGGTCTCAAGTGGCAGGAGCCAAGTACCTGAAACACCACCTGTTGTTTCCCAGGGTCTACCTTAGGATGAAGCTGGAATTGGGGGCACAGCCTGGGCTTGAACCCATGCTCTTCAAATTTTGGAGCAGGCATCCCAACCAGTGTCTTAAATGCTGCATCAATGCCTGCCCCAGTGGCTTCCTTTTGAGTTCTGAGACAGTTTGAATCACAGTTTACTTGGGGATCACAGAGAGAGAAAGGTCATCCATCTTCTGGCTACAATGATCATGGCTGAGCCAGGCCAAAGCCAGGAGCCAGGATCTTCTTCCAAGTCTCTCTCACATGGGTACAGGGGCCCAATCACTTGGGCCATCCTCTGCCGCTTTCCCAGGACATTAGCAGGGAGCTGGATCAGAAGTGGAGCAGCCTGGACTTGAACCGGTACTCATACGGGACGCTGGCCCTGCAGGCAGAGGCTTAACCTGCCACGCCACAGCACCGGCCCCAAAACTTGGAATCTTGACATCAGTGACTAATGTACATCTAGTGTCTTTGCCTGAAATGACCCTTTTGGCCCTTCTGAGCGATGAGCATCAGCCAGGACTGACAGTTGGTGAGATGTGCACCACAGAGGCTGGCAACTGTGCAGAAACACCACATGGCCCATCCCAATGATGCTGTGTTTTGCCAGGGTAAAAATAGCCATGACTACCAAAAAGCTAGAAGAAAAGAACAAATGGTCTTCATTTTCTTTGTGGGTTCTAAAACCACTGCCTCTCTGCCCAGCTATACTTGCAAGGAGCAGCTGGCATCAGTGAGCAAAACACAGATGAGTCCTAAACTGAGTGGAGGATCAAATCCTTCATTGTTCTTTTCAGTCTCTATTGTGCACAGAGCAAGTCATTGCACTGGCAGCAAAGGGGAGAGCTTAGTGACTATTGCTTAAGTGTTGATTATCGCCAAAGAGCAGGTATAGCAAGAAAGAGAAAAGATAAAAGCATCATGGGTATAATGCTAAAGAATCAAATAAGACATTTAAGCACTCCACTGCACATGTATGAGAAACAACCAGCCTTTAGTTGTTGAAAGCACCAAAAAAAAAAAAAAAAAACTATAAAGAGTTTGTGACCTTATAATATGTCCTTTGATATGGAAATTTCACAAAATGATATGGATTCAAGTAGAAGGAGAAAAATATCTAGTGAGCACCAGGTTGATGTCAAGTATATAATATTTGGTATTTAACTTGACCTTCACGATAACCTTGGAAAGAAAGCATCGCCATCACAATTTTATAGATGAAATTTATGTAGGTTAAAATGCCTGCCTCAGAATATATAGCTGGTAAACGAAGAATTTCAATCCATGTTTGCTTGACTCCAAAGCCATAATTTTTCCTGTAAAAAGCAGCCAGCCTCCCAGACACAAAAACCATTGAGGAAATTTTAACAGAAAATGCAACTCGAGTTAAGGTGTTTTGTTATTCTAGAGAATTATCTTTCCTATCGCTTATTTGTATACCTGTCCCTGTGACAGCTGAATAGTGCTATATAGATAAACACAGCTGATTCAATAGAGAGCACTCTGGAAACAGTTTATTATGTTTGTTCAGTATTGTGCAATGGGTTTCTGCAAAACTACTGCAAAGGTGAGATAACGCATGCCATCTAACAACCATGACTTGGGAGGGAAAGACTTCATCATGAACTGTAGCACCAGGACAGACCAGGGAACAAGTATTCCCTTCCCACTCATTAGGTTGGCCAGGCAGAAATGCAACTGTCAAATATGGGTTACTATTTTTTCTTTGCCAAGTCAATGAGTAAGGATCCAAAATATTAATTATAGTGTAGAAACCACCCACCACATATTGTACAAATGGTGTGAAGACTACCATGGGCACTCCGTCTGTTTGTAACACACGGTTGTGAGACATGTCAAAACAGAAGAACAGAAGCTGTCAAGCCCAAGAGCTCATGTTAACTGGTCAAGCTACATGTCTGCTGGAGAATATAATGGCTCTGGTTTCAGGCAAGTTAACATAGCTGTGTTCTTACTAGAGAAAGCGCAAAGGATAACTTATACCTATAAAGGAAATTAAAAGAGTACATAAAAATACGCAAAATTTGGTAACAGATATTTATTGTGGGTGCTAAAAATTTTGCTTTTGAGATAATTCCATAGTATTGACTATATTAGGTCAGCTTCATCTCTTAGCAGTAATAACCAACTACCCCTGAAAACTTGGACCAATGACCAGGGTTGTCCCTTTTACAGGACACAGAATGTTTTGAGTTTCTTTAGCATAGACTGCATGATGTCAGGGTGCGTGGAGTAAATTTTGTAAATCTTGGTTTCCCCAGGACATGGAATAACACATGAGCAAGGTAGGTGCCTAATGAATGCTAATTGCATTAATAAATGAAACATTTGTGGTTATTTGGTTTGAGTTTATAAAGTTAGTTTTACACTTGACGGTGCTACTTATTTCTGCTCAAATTATCAAATCATCTTTTATGTCATTCCCTCTAATTGACTTCTAAAATACTTATGCATCTTCCAATGATGCTTCAGTGCATATAAAAAGAAGTCTATTTTTAAAGTTAGATCCTGAAGATAAAAGCAAACTAAGTTAAGGGTGGGACACAGATACCATCCCTCCCTTCAGAATCTGTGTAGGTATCTCTGATCCACACAGACTTCTCTCTGGCTTCAAGATCCTCGGTGTCTGGCAATCTGCACAGCTATTGCCAATTGGCTGGATTTGCCCACACCTTCCCCCACGCAAAAGGAACCTAGTTATTCATCCTCCTTAAACTAGGATTTCCTTTAGGAATTGACTAATTGGAGATTGTCTGAGTGCCCATAATAAAATCAATTGGTAAATTAAGATTTTCTATGCACATGTAATTCTACTGGCAATACAGCTTTA